AAGCCGCCGCCGCCGCCGGTATGCCCCAGCAGTACATGCAGCCCCCCGTCTTCTACGCCGCGGGCCAGCAACCCGTCTTCCCCCAGGGTGGTCGCGGCATGCCCTTCCCTCAGGGCGGCATGGCCATGCCTCCCGTTCAGGGTGGCCGTCCGGGCCAGTTCCCTGGAGGATACCCCCAGCAGGGCGGACGTGGTGTTCCCCAGCAGATGCCCCCTGTCTACGGCATGCCCGGCTCCTTCCCTCCCGGAGGTGCCTACCCTCAGCCTGGTAACCCGCAATTCATGGCTGCCATCCAGCAGGTGCAGCAGGCTACCATGGGCGGCGGTCGCGGCGGTCCCCAGGGCGGCCGTGGTCCCGTCCCCCAAGGAATGCCCATCCCCGGCGGCCCCGGCATGCCCGGCTTCCCTCCCAACGCTCGCCAGGGTGGTAACCAGCCCGGCGCCGGCCGTGGTGCCAACCCCAACGCTCCCCGCAACGCTCCCTTCCCCCAGGGTGGCCGTGGAGCCCCTGCTCAGGAGCTCAACAGCGGCAGCCTCATCCAGCAGCAGCTTGCTGCCGCTGGCGGTAACCCCGGCCAGCAGAAGCAGATTCTCGGTGAGGTCATCTTCCCCAAGATCCAGGCTATCCAGCCTGAGCTTGCCGGAAAGATCACCGGTATGCTTCTCGAGATGGACAACGCTGAGCTTGTTAACCTGTAAGTTGAAACAACCCCTACGTACACTGATCTCTCACTAACATTTCGCAGCATCGAGGAGGAGTCTGCTCTCAAGGCCAAGGTCGACGAGGCCCTTGGCGTCTACGAGGAGTACATCAAGGCCCAGGGTGGCGAGGAGGGCGAGAAGAAGACCGAGGAGACTAAGGCCTAAGCCATCTCCTCCACATTCACGCAACGTCATGAGCATGATTTCCTTATGTCATCATACCCCTTGTTATTGGGCATCCTTTCTACGACCAGTGAGCATTCAACGACAACGCTCATGAGGTCATTGCTCAACACGGATTGGGAAAAGTTATTTGGAATGAGGCGGCATAATCGACTGCATTTTTTCACGCCAGAGGGATCTTCACGACATGCTTTGCTATGACGGCAGCTCTTTCTGGGGCCTGTCGTCAAATCCTTCGGGGCCTGCATGTGTGGATAGATTTCTCTACTGCTTTCGTAGGCAGAGAGATTGGCGGCTCATCCCTCCCTTGGGTGGCTCCTGTTCTCTTGATCTGCCAGGAAGGCTCGGTGGGATGCGTCATTTGCCACCCAGTATGGTTCTCCAGGAAGGCGTTTTACGGTTGTATGTTTGAGTCGCACGAGCTGCCTGGCTTCGCTCGTTTGCGATGGCACCAATACCCCACACAGAACGGTACTCGTTTCTTCAGGCAAACAGGCAGATGGTGGTTTTGAGGAGGTATGAAGTATCTCCTAATAGAAAGTTCAAAAATACTCGGCGTCCCTATACTGTGAAGATGTCTTAGTGTGCATGAGTGGATCTTTCTCTGATTAGTCCACTTTTGGAATGAGAAGATTGTTCGGTTGCCCGTAATGACAGCCTTAGGTAATGATGGAGGCGTCCCCTTGAGCCTGACGGATCCAACACGAGTGTCAAACTTGAGGTGATGCTCACTCGGTTTTGCCGGGCTTCGTCTGGGAAAATATGACTGAGAATTAGGACCTCATTTCTCGAGTACTCAGGAGGCCATAAGCTATGAGGGTGGGCGGAAGCCATCCTATGTCGACAACGGCGAAGGGGAGAGTGCAGCGCAAAGATTGCTATAAGAATACTTGGAACACGTCGAGGCGAAACGTCACTGGGGTTGAACTTGCATCTTGACATGTTGAAACGCAAGATAAACCAGGGTCCAACGTTCACGTCAATGTTGTGTTCAAGAAATAGGCTGTTGACATGACCAACTTTCAAGAATCACGGCTAGGTGCAGTGTGAGGGCTCCTGAGATATCTTGTCATCGTCGACTACTAGGAAAGGTTGGCCTGGCCAAGCCTGCAGAGTAGTGTATCGCGTAAGGAGCTGCTAGTGATGATGCTTTGCCAGTCTTCCAATGCCGGCTTTTAGGTGACAGCAGCTAGTGGGTGGCTTTCGCTCCCAAGTATATGGGAAGAGTGATTAGCAAGCATGGCAGCTATTTCCTGCTACGTAACTTTATTTTGGATGTTTCCCTTCTCAATCTCTTGTAACTTCCCATCACATAAGCCTGGTCACTGTTGAATACACCTGCGATAGTCTTGGATGGATGGTCGTACTTGGATGAAAGCGTCAGAGTTGGCATCTCGCGATATGGACTCAGACGAAGAAATCTCGGTAGGGCACTAGCCTTAACATCGTATCCAAGCCAAGCTGTCTTTGAGGGTCAAGGCCGAGAGTCGTTGACCTGAGCTGGGATAGAAGCCCTGTTGTGGGAAGAAGGGGGGCACAGTCCCTAGACCTTGAGTAGACGAAGTATACAGGCTATCCGTCTGCGTAGTCTGATGAAAATTGGCAATCGCCATCTGGATTTGCACGTCGACATTCTCAGCCTGTGATGTCCTCCTTCCTGACCTAGCTTTAAGAATATTGCGGGGTGACAAATTTCAAAAAAGGCAGACAGGAACTGGAACCTATACGGAAAATTCTGTGTTCACGGCTGGGAAGTCATCTCAACTTGAAGGAAGTAGACGACGGATTTTCATATCGACGTTAGGATAGAGTACCTGAAAAGCGCCACTTGTGATGTGAGAAAAATATCTTATAGCTTCACTCACATCATGTATGAGGTGAGACATCCTTCTCGCAGATGGCCCGTCCGTAGCCGCGACGTAATGGCCAGACAATGATTTGTGGCGAGAACACTCTAATCTAATTACTCTGGATGTTGCTGACCATTCCAAGGATCTAGGCTTCTTATGTCGAGTTCCGCGGACACCTGTCAAGCCTACGATTGAGAATAACAGTAAGTAGTAGCTCCCATGCTCGTCGAAGGCTTCACTCCATTCCTCAACCTCACATTGAGTTGATGTACTCGTTTGGGTAAAGCTTTCCTAGGCCAGGTTGATTCACTGGACAAGTCCCCTACCAGAACGATAGGCGGATGGTGGCGAGGATAGAAACATTCATGGCATGTGCAGAGAACTTACAGATAATGGCAATGTTCCTCGTTCAATTTGGCTACATCCTAATAGCAGAAGTTGATCGAGTGTCGTCCACCTTGACAAAACTAGTGTGAGCTCAACATTGATAGGACTCCAGTTCAAGCTTCACAGATAGCGCACTACAAATGGAAAGAAAAAAGCCAGCAGGGCCACGAATCTTGCAAAGGTTGTAGATCTTGAACCACCTAGACCAAACCAACAACACATGTATCGACAATCAACGATAGCTTGTACCCTTTTCGGGCCCCTCGCCGTGAACGTGGTCGGCAGGCCGGATGGAGCAGGTCAAGTGCGGGGCCCGCATCTGCACCCACAACCAGAACCAACCAGCCAGCCAGCCAGCCAGCCAGCCCGGCTCTAGGCTTCTTAATCAGCTTATGCGCTCTGCTCCTCCAACCCACCGAGCGAGGACCCAGTCCTCGAATCTCCCCTTGGTGTAGTTGGTTCATCACGTTCGACTGTAATGGTTACATTGTCATCGAAAGGTCTCTAGTTCGATTCTGGAAGGGGAGAACCATCTCTTTTGCATATTTCTTCTTTTTTGTTCTTCGGTGTTCTTGGTACGCAATATGCATTGCTGTTGAGATGGACAGTGTTTTTTTTTTCTTTTCGAGAGAAAGATTTTGTTCCTGGTGAGGAGGCAAGGTTCGGGGTTGTGGATAGGTACCAAGGTATCAACCAGGCCCCTTATTTATCTACCGCTCTAGACGCCAAAGCAGTGAAGATTCAGAGTCAGCTACAGACATTTGAGAAGCTGTGATAATCAAAGGCGATATTGAATGGCATCAAAGGAAAGATTTCGAATCAACTACATACATTGTGTAGACACGCAGACACCATATGCAACGCGATGACATTTAGGCTTTCCCGGATGATTGTAAGCTTGAGTTTCATCGCGAGTGTACAGGAAGTTTACTCCGGCAAAAAGGACAAAAAGAGATGGGATCAAAGTCCACGGTAACTTAGTCATATGGAACAGCAGGGGCTGGAGGGTATCTACACAACCAATGAGTGGCTGCCCTGCAACGACAAACTTCATGTCGCTAGCAACTGAGCGCGAACTTCATGATCCATATAACGGCCTTCCAATCCAAAGAAAACAAGGCAAAAACATGCCCAGATCGTTATAGAGGAGAGAATGTTCGAGATATGCCACCAAAAACAAAAGATTGATTTCGCCCGGACTTGAACCGGAGACCTTCAGTGTGTTAGACTGACGTGATAACCAACTACACCACGAAACCTAATTGGATAATGATACGTGTGGATAGTACAATCTAAGAAGGGTTTCTGTCTGGTCAGCGCTCGAGAGCAGCCGCAGTGTCAGGAGTCGACGTCAACGTACAAGAGATAGAGACAGTTGTGGTTGGTTTAAGCAGCATGTCTGCCCGTAATTGACGCGCAAGAGGCAAGAAACCGAAATGTCCAGGTGACGTCGTTTTCCCCTTGGCCATTCAAACTCTCAGATATGAAGCATCTCCAGGACAGCCTCCAGCCGGAAACCAAGACCCTTCACCATTTACATCCTCAAAACCACACTCCAGCTGCCCAAGCCGGCAAGATTCCGAACACATGGATAAACTCCAATCTCTCATTATGGATACCTCTCATTCGAAGATCCATAATCCTTTACATCGGTGAATAGCATAGCGTCCCCCACCCAAAGAAAAATTCGAATTTCATCCATCTCGGGCACGTCCCGTCAAGAAAGACTCTTCACCACGCAGCCCCACCCATTCCAGCAGTCCCAGCGATCCCCAAGTCTATAAAATATCGTCCTCCCGCTGCAGCTTTTAGGAACTTTCTCCTTCTTTTTTTCTTCATGTCGACAATACTTCAGAGAATCATTTCTATAGTATTCGACCTACTCTTGGTTCCCTAAAGGAGCTACAGATCCCACCCTGGTTGATGATTGATATCCTCGATACCCTAGAGTGATGAACTCTTGGTTGTTCTCGAACCCTCCGCGAGGAGAGCGGGCCTTCGGGCTTGTATAGAGAACGGTGATGATCTCGTCCCCTGTTCGCGGTCTTGCCCTTGGGCGCGCGGGAGGGGTGGGCATCGATGGACGTCTGACAGGCACTGTTTTTCTCTTTTTTTCATTACGTGCTGGAGCATGAGACTCTGGTCGTGAAGAAGAAGATTCTCGTGTTTTTGATAGGAAGAAAGGAATGATTCGAAGATTGTCAAGACGTTCATAGGTCAATTGTATTTCATACGCCTAAAATCCAGAACCATTCTGTTGATATACAACCAGGCCCAAAAATGCTCTAACTAAAATACAAGTTTCATCATCAATCTTTAAGACCCCGTCGCGACATCACCCATTTATTCGGCAACCCAGACGGCGCTCATGCCCATACCGGTACCGATACACATAGACGTGTTGCCAATCTTCTTACCCGTCCGCTTGAGCTCGTACAGCAGCGTCGAGATCTGCCTCGCGCCAGTGCAGCCTAGCGGGTGACCGAAAGCGATGGCGCCGCCCTTGGGGTTGACCTTTTCGAACGGGATGCCGAGCTGCTCGGCGCTCCACAAGCACTGCGACGCGAACGCCTCGTTGATCTCGTAGATGTCGACATCCTCGGTCGCGATGCCGGCCTTGGCGTTGGCGACGGGAATGGCCTTAGCGGGACCCTGGCCCATGAGCAGCGGCGGCAGGCCGACGATGGCGGCGGAGACGAACTTGCCGAGGATGGGCTGGCCGAGGCGCTCGGCGGTCGAGCGCTTCATGAAGAGCACGGCGGCGGCGCCGTCGGACACCTGAGAGGCATTACCGGCGTGGATGCCGCCGTCCTTTGCGAAGGCGGGCTTGATCTTGGCCAGGGACTCGGCGGTGACGCCGGCGCGGATGCCGTCGTCCTTTGCGACGGTGATCTCCTTGGTCTCGCCAGACTTGGGATCCTCCCACTTGACCTTGAGGGGGGTGATTTCCTGGTCGAAGAGACCCTCAGCCTGGGCCTTGGTGGCCTTGGCGTATGAGGAGGCGGCGAAGGCGTCCTGCTTGGTGCGGGGGATGCCGAGGTCCTGGGCCATGTTCTCGGAGAGAACGCCCATGGGGACCTTGCAGTTTGCGGCCTCGGGAGTGTTTTCGAGGAGCTCAGAGAACTCGGAGACGGCGGCGGGGCTGTATGGGACAGAGGGTCAGTTACTGAGATTATGAGAAGACAGGGCCAAGGAGGGCACATACCCGTATTGCGTTGACATGCTCTCGACGCCGGCGCCGATACCGACCTCAATCATGCCGGTCTTGATCGCGTTGATAATGTCCACGGAAGCCTGCAGACCAGAAGAGCACTGGCGGTTGAGGGTGCGCACGGCAGTGGTCTGGGGGAAGCCGGCGACGAGGGCAGCGGCACGCATCTCGGTGGCACCACCGCCGGGGGCCAGGACGGTGCCGACGGCGATATCCTCGACGAGGGCGGGGTCGATCTTGGACCGGTCGAGGAGGGCCTTGAGGACGCCAGCCATCAGGTCGGCGGCCTGGGTGTCCTTGAACCCACCCTTGCCACCCTTGGTGAAGGGAGTTCGGAGTGCTGCGGTGACGACGACCTGCGGGGGAATACGATTAGACGGGCACGTTCTATAATCATCTAGATAGAGAGCGGTCGGGAGCTTACATCGTCGGCGTTCTTCTGGAGGATCTTGTCCTTGCCGCCGGCGGAGAACTGGCCGCCAAGCTGAGTCAATCTCTCGAGGGCTGTTTTGAGCGACGTGGTTAGTAAAAGAGGCGAAGTGGCCGCGAGCAGAGTGTTGATTGCTACTTACCACCCATTGTGATAGATATGAAGCTTCGAAGATAGGAACGAGAGGGTATATAGATGGATCGAACAGATGGAGAGACGAGATTGAAAAGAGGAGATGTAGGTGGAACAGGTATATCAATACAAAAGTGTGTAAGGGGAACTGTGACGGGCAAGATGTATGTCTGGTTCGGATCTCAGATGGGACAATGAGCCTCGGATGTTCTCAAAAACGGGTCTCTGACAAAGGAGCAGCAGGGTACTTGGTACACCTTGAAAGAGCTGGCTGATGTCAGCTGGGGGTCATCCAGCGCTGCACCTCACCTTTCTGCTGCAGCAGCAATCCAGTAGGTCCAGCAACCAAAAAAACCGGCCGAGGCATCCAAATTCCAGCGACCACACCGCATTGGTTACGAAACTCCGGGGCCCGAACCCCACCCTTTTTCTCTGGAGAACTTAGGTGCGGAAAGGTATCCGTATCTCACCTAGCTGCCATTTTCACATGCTCGCTTCTTCCCCACTGAAGCGGTAGCAGGTGCTGTTTCTGGCTGTTGGTGCGCCGCGACAGCAACCTTGGTCCCCACGTTCTCCCGCCTCCCCCGTACTTTTTCCTCCCCTGGTACTTACCTTGCGGGGAATTGGCACGCCAATAGCTTGCGTCACAAGCACTTTACGGCAGCCCAGGTGATCAGCGTCCCGTCCTCCTACCATTCTTCTCTCGCATTCTCTTTCTTAGCCTTCTTAGGGCGTCACGGGACCTCTGGCGGCTTATGATACCTCGCTGCGAGGCTGGTGAGCTTGATGGCCGCTCTTTTGTGCTTGGTCCATCAGGTGCAACACGTGCTGGCTTGGCTTGAGCCGCAACCTTCTTTTTTTCCATGTGAAGATGCACCGCGAGTCAATCCTTAAGATCCCAAGCGCAAACCAATAGGATAATTGTTTCATCCACATGGAAACCCTAGCCTCGAGTCAACCTACGTATGCAGCTACTTGTGGAGAAACAAGCAGCTGGAAATGGAGATATCGCGACTTTATAGGTTCATCATAATACAAGGTCATTGTTCTACATATCTGTGTATGTCTCTCTCTCTCTTCTCCGACAAAATGTCTGTATAGCTTCTCTTCCTCTACAACTTGGCCGCCGGCTTGATCAACGCCAGCCTCGCCTTCAGCGCCGCCTCAGCCTCCTTCTCTATTCTAGGAACCAAGTCCTTGACCGACGGGATGTCGTGAATCAATCCAATAACCTGTCCGGCCGTCCAAACCTATAGCAGAAAATGGTCAGCTCGATACTTCATACCATGCTCACGTGAAGGAAAGGGATATACTCACGCCATAGTCCGGATCACCCGTGATGAAAACCTCCTTGCCCCTCTTCCCGCTCACGAGCGGCGCAATCTCGGAAAACTCGCCCGACGTGCTCTGCTCCTCAATCTTGATCGCCTCCTCCGTGACCTTGTTCTTGTACAGCCGCGTTGTGTTTCTCCACCGCCGAAGCAGCAGCGCCGTGTCCGTCTCCTGCGCCTTGACAATCTCCTCCTTGATCTTGTGATGGATCGGCGCCTCCAGCGTGCACATGAACCGCGTGCCCATGTTGACGCCCACCGCGCCCAGGCACAGCGCCGCCGCGAGCCCTTCGCCGTCCGCGAACCCGCCGCTCGCGATGAAGGGCACCTTCAGCGACTGCCGCGCCCGCGAGAGGAGGATGAAGTTGGTAATGTCCGACTCGCCCACGTGGCCGGCGCACTCGAAGCCGTCGATGCTGAGGAAGTCGACGCCGAGCTTGACGGCGCTCTGCGCGTGGCGGATCGTCGTGCACTTGTGCAGGATCGTAACGCCCGCGGCCTTGAGCTGCTTGATGACGGGGCCCGGCGAGTTGCCGGCCGTCTCAACGATCTTGATGCCCTCGTCGATGACGACCTGGGCGTAGGCGGCGTAGTCTGGGGGCACGAGGGCCGGAAGGAGGGTGATGTTGACGGCAAAGGGGTACTTTGTCAGGGTCTTGCAGCGCTGGATCTCCTTGCGCAGCTCCTCGGGGGTCGGGAAGATGAGGGCGGTGATGATGCCCAGCGCGCCCGCGTTGGAGACGGCCGAGGCGAGGTCGGCTGTGCCGACGTGCTGCATGCCGCCCTGGACGATGGGTACTGTGAGGCGAACGAGAGCGTGTCAGCGATGAGTTGTCCTCTCTGGTACTCTACCCGGCATAAAGGGTTAGGATGCGCGCCATAGTGACGCCTGCGAATGTGATGTGTCGTGCGTCTTCTCGCGAGCCCTGCTCTGACGTACCTTTGATACCCAACCGTCGGGTCAGCTCAGTGTCGAATGGCATGTTGGGCAATCGGAGCGTTTTCTTTCTCTATTCGATTCGATTCGATTTCGGTACAAACTGTTGTGTTACGCGAAGAAACAGGTTGAGGGACGAGGGCGACAATCAGAACGAGGCAACAGGAAAAAGGAGATAACAAACTTCTAAAGCGTCTAGTCTAGATGGTGTAGATTGCAGACGTGATAATAAAAAGGGACAGAGTGGTGATTCTGACGGCAGTTTGGCTGACTCGGTCTGGCCGGTCAAAGGACGACGGCTGCTCAGCCCCCCCGATCGGTACCTTGGGACAGTGGGGACGTACCGAGGTAACTCGGCCTCCACCAACCGTCTCCCCCGCGTTTCCAGGTGCCAGGCCATTTTTCGATTAGAGCGAACATGGGGAAACACGGCCGACCCCATTTCGTGCCGTTCCTCTCTCACATGGCCAGACGCCATCTTTCCGCCGTCCACGGGACTATTTCCGTAACCAGAAGGCTTCATCCCTGACACCAGCCGGCCTGGCTTCACTCACTTTCTTCATATTCTGACAGAGAACGCAGCACACTGTATCTTCATCCTTGATATACTGAATCATCAAGGAGCTTAGCACAACAACACTTCGCAGGCCAACAGACTAGACAGACGCGTAGCACGGCGCTTCCACCTCTCAGTTCCTCTGGCTTCAGCCTTTCACGAAGCCCCATGGCGTGTAATATGTGACGCTGTGCTCCCTATCATATTGAATCTCATCGGTCAATAATCAAAGCATCCGAGGGCCGCACACTGGGACCCCGGGTATCTCGATACCTGGCTGCCCGTTGGTCAGCAAGCACACCACCTAAGGACGATTGGATGTTTGTGCCCGATATCAACAGCGCCCCATCTCTCTCATCTGGCGGCTCCTCGAGGCGTTGGTGCCACAGCATCTAGGCTACGTGATGCGAATCCGACCTAAAGGAACGTCATTAGGCATTTGATAGTCGCCGTCCGCAACTCAGTTCAATCACAGGAACA